CATGCACACACACCCACACTCATGTTAAACGCCCCACGAATGTGATGTTACCCGTGTTTATGCAATAAAAATGTACAATTGCATTTCATACCATTATGCAACTAAGATCTCAATTACAATTTTAACATCATGTTCAATATGTTAAGTGCACATTATGAATAACATTTCATCTTATTCACATTCTCAATTGTCAATTATATCATAAACATACAATTACAATTATACAACATCATCCAAGCATGTTATTCCAATTTCATCAAAACAACATACTCAATTCATTCATGACATTTTATCAAACACCCAACAAGACACAAATTTATGTAAAACACATAATATACCCAAATTACCACATTTCTAAAGAAATCACAACAAGTAACTTCCACATATCCGATTCAAGCTAGAATTGATTTTAATTATTCTCAATACTTATTTTTCACATTTTAATAACCACAGGTAAGTGTTATACATGAGATTACATCTTTAACACCCTACCCATTCTATATAATAACTCTAGGTTGGAAATAAACCTAATTAGAAAAATAACCTTACCTCTTAAAACGTAAAACAAGTTGTGGAACCCTTCAAGAACATAACCCAAGCTCAAANACACCCTACCCATTCTATATAATAACTCTAGGTTGGAAATAAACCTAATTAGAAAAAGAACCTTACCTCTTAAAACGTAAAACAAGTTGTGGAACCCTTCAAGAACATAACCCAAGCTCAAGGCCTTGATTTTTCAAATTCCGTCTTTAAAAATTTTGGTGAAATCTGTCATTTTTGGTACGTAGGCGTAGCCCTCGTCACGTAGATGAAGTTTAACTCTTGGCCCAAGTCAATTCGATCAAAGGAATTTCCGTAGATTGTAGAGAGAAGTTAGAAACTCTCTCNCTCGTCACGTAGATGAAGTTTAACTCTTGGCCCAAGTCAATTCGATCAAAGGAATTTTCGTAGATTGTAGAGAGAAGTTAGAAACTATCTTNAACTCTTGGCCCAAGTCAATTCGATCAAAGGAATTTCCGTAGATTGTAGAGAGAAGTTAGAAACTCTCTCTTTTTCCTTCTCTTCCTCTCTCCAACAAAACCCAGCTGAAAATGGGGAGAAAATATGATTTTCTCCTTTATTTATATACCCCTTGGAATGTTTGGCCCTCGTTGCGCCACACGGTCTCCATTCCCGGGTTCGTTTTCGTCTCGAAACGATTAAATGTCGTCCTAATTCAAGTTCAAAATATTTTTATATTAACTTTATTTAAATTATTTTTTAATTTTTAAAATTTAATTTCACGTCTCTTTTTAGGTCACACGACACCTGATCACCTCGTAAAACGTAAAAAATTCGACTGTCTCGAAATTCGACAAAAATTGATTGGATAACTAGATTTCGTAAGACGAATTCAACGATAAGGTCCGTTTCTTCATCTGAGTTCTAGAAAATTTTGAATTTTCAACATGTACCGTAGTAATAATTTACCATTTTGCCTTTTTTTCAAAAAAATTTAAATTTACTTGGGTTTCAAATTTAAACTTTGATTAGGTGGTTGATCTAGTGATAGTTAGATTCACTTATAGGGTGCAAATATTAATGTTTATCCAATAAAAATAGAGGTAATTAAGTGATACCATATGGTCAAATACTATCAAAATGATGTCACGTGTCAAGATTAAAGGTAAACTCTCCAACTCCTCTCTTATTCCCACTAACTAAGAGTTTAAATTTTATCTGGATTCCCTATGAATTCGATGACCTACGAATTGCCAATGGCTTATTGATAGGTTAGTTAAATAATTAGAAACATTGAAAATGGCTACAACTCCTCTCCATTTCCAGCACAATGGATCTTTATACTAACTATGGTTACCTCATCTTTTCTAGCATATCCTCAAACTTTATTATAAAAAATAATTTTAAGATATTACTTACTACCTAGACTAAAAATCTAGTGTTCAACCAGAGCCAAAAACAAAATAATGGACTAAAACAACAAAGCAACGACCTCAACCCACCAGATGCTTATAAAAGTTACAGACTTTAGTCACAATTATTAATTTGGGAAAAGACACAATAGATAGATTCTTATCTTTAGTCAAAAAGTCAAGAAAGGGCAAGGTTATTGGTAGTCATGACTTCAATGCTTTTAGGCCAATTTGTTTTAGGAGGTGTTTGGTTTGATAGATAAAGGTGCATAACCCATGTGAATTGGGTTTAAATTGTTTGCGGGCCCACATATCTTTGATTTGAATTTACAAAGTTGGATAGAATAAACGTTTGTTATCCAAAAGATTGGCCGTAGTAATTGAAGCCCAAATCCCAATCTACACCAAAATTTTTAAATCCACGGAGCATGTGGGATTCATGTATTCGAGTTTCGTTATCAATAAGATAACTGGGGGAATTTATCATTACTCCCTTAAAACAGTACTCAGTTTAGGGTTAAAATTTTCATTTCTTTCTTACCTCATCGCCTCCAATAGCCCACTCCACACCAGAATCGACAGGTACTCTCTCTCTAAGTGAGGCAGTGCGAGTAAAAGAAAAGAGAGTCAAACCAATTTAAGAGAGATTGTTACTTTTAAAATAAGAAATCGTCAATTTTAGGTTTTTTTAGAAGACTTTGTTATATTTCAAGGCATTCTATAAGATTTTATATAGACTTGTGAAAATATTGTTATATTTTAAGATTTTCTATAAAATTTTAAATAGACTAATAAAAATACATAGGGCTTTAAGTTGATACATTCAAAAGGGCCTCAAAACATAAAGTTGAACTAAAGGTTGAAAATAAAATTGGGCTCTTAAATTTTTGGAACTCTAAGCGACTATTTTAATGGTCAAACTTAGGGGCGGCCTTATTATGCCTCCTCCCATTCAAAAGATTAAAGTTGATGGTACCTCTAATATGCCTAAGGTTGAGCTCAGTAATACAAGTTATGTGCTTTTAGATTAGGACCTTTGTTCATTTAAGTTGCGTACAGACCTCGACTTCAGACCTCAAGCTCCCTGCATCTACATCTTAGTGAAGGTAGTTGGCTTCCACCAAGTATCCCCTCAGTAGCAACAATCATTTATCTAGACACAAGATTCGTAACCGCCCCAATACCCACCGCAGCTATTGCGCAATATAGGCGACCATTACGAATAAGAGGCAAGAATCTCTCCGTAGATCAAGCTAGGCCCATGGTCAACTATAAATAGGAGGCAAAGCCCTCAATAGAAAGAAAAAGCGATTGTAGCGTTACTCAAATATTCTCCGTAAAATTCCCCATTATCAATATATTCCATAGGAGTAAGAGACTTCTTTGAGAGTGGATTAGCTGAGCTCCTGAGCTCGTAAACCNCCCTCAATAGAAAGAAAAAGCGATTGTAGCGTTACTCAAATATTCTCCGTAAAATTCTCCATTATCAATATATTCCATAGGAGTAAGAGACTTCCTTGAGAGTGGATTAGCTGAGCTCCTGAGCTCGTGAACTNTAGAAAGAAAAAGCGATTGTAGCGTTACTCAAATATTCTCCGTAAAATTCCCCATTATCAATATATTCCATAGGAGTAAGAGACTTCTTTGAGAGTGGATTAGCTGAGCTCCTGAGCTCGTAAACCACTATAAATTTTTTGTGTGATAACCTCATTCTCTTGATTCTATTTTCAAGAGCCTTAGAGCTCAGACTGAACTAAATTAAACTGTTTAGTGCACCTCACATTTACCCCTCTGCTCTATAGTGTCGATTACATCGTCAAAAGTGTATGCATCTCTTGCAATGATCGTAGTCTCTACGCATCTCTCACGGTCAAGTGTTTGTCCATAAAACCGATTAGGTAAGACAAAATTAATCCCTAGATATGCAAGAATTAAGGTAATATATGTGTTAATTTATAATTTATTCATTTTTTTTAATTTATCAAAAATCATATATGAACCATTATAAGGTGGTCAGAGTGAAGATGTGGCTTGCTGCATATATTTTTTTTTGGGTAATTTAGACATTTAATATATATTAAACATTATATATGTATTATTTCGTACTCATTAATTTGTTGACACAAAATAATTGCATCACCACTTTTTTATTTACCTTGCCGACTCATCGGAAAAAGGATTTTTTTTGCAAAAGTCTTTAATTCCTATATAGTGGAGAAAATTTAGTTGTTGGTGGGTAAACTTCACCTTAATTCGCTGCATTCAATTAAGGTGTTGAAATTGAAGTGAAGTAAAATGGGTACAAAATTATCAGTGGTTTTCTTCAATTCACTTTCAAGAACTTCAATCCTATGCCACCAAATGTAGCATTTAATTATTTTTATTTACGTATTTAGGCAATGTTTGAGCAGGGATTGGTGTGTATGGATATTGTTCTACAACCACCATGTCACTCCATTCAAAAGAGTTCAAACCACCTCTCAATTCGTCGAGCTCAGAAAAGTGAAGAGAAAGAGTGGGTCTTCATACTAAAATATATGATAGAGAAAAGTGAAGAGAAAGAGTTTGAGAAAAAAGTTACTTACCATAAAGATGAACCTCGCTGCTGAGAAAAATGGGCAGATGGAGGGAAAAACCAGAAGAGGTGGGGGTTTTTGAAGTAATTTGTGCAAAACGGTGCCGTATTTGTTTTTGTTCCCAAACGGTCGCGTATCATTAAGCAGCAGAGTGTGCTGTTAATGACTTAACCGTAGAGGAGCCCAACACCCTAAAACCGAAGGCGGCCTCTTGAGGCTTTCAGTGGGGTTTACAAGCCCCCCCCCCTCTCTCTCTTTCTGTCTCTGTTCTTCGGCCACCGCTCAATCTCTTCGATTCAAGTACAATTATCAAAAGGGTTAACTTGGGGTTTCTTTACTTGTTGTTTATTCTCCCTCTAGCCGCCGCCGCCGCCGCTTCCACCCTCTACGATTGTGCAGTTCGATTATCTTTCTTGTTTAAAGGAGTTAAAAAGCAATCTCTTAGAGGATACACACACACTGCACTCACTCAAACAAGCAGTATTGCAATCAGGTGTGGATTCTTATAATGGGTTCAGCAAATATCAGAGACCTCTTGACTTCTTTTAGTCCGAATTTGGACTTCTTCGCTATCAGCTCCGGTGATGGTCGAATTAAGGTATCCAAACTCTCTGTCTCTGTCTCTCTCTCTCTCTCTCTCTATGTAGCTCAGAATTTCTACACTACAAAGCGCATACACGCGTCTATATATACATTCAAGGATATGGTCTGATACAAATTTGTTCTTTTCATTAAATATTTGAGGCTTAGGTCTATATAATATGATGGCTCAATTTTTGGGTTCTTCTCAGATTTGGGACACTGTGAAGGGTCACGTTCAGACAGAGTTTGCGGACATTGTGTCGTCCGAAGCAACAAATTTATTTACCAAGCCAGGAAGTGGGCATCTTTCTGTTGATTATACATGCATGGAGTGGTTGTCTTTGGATAAAAAGGTTAATTTTCTTAACGTTAAACATTGAATTAAGAGTTGCTTGTTGTTACCGCTTTTATTTTCTACTTAAACATTGATGCTTGTTGGTTTTATATTGTTGATCAACAGAGAAAAAGAAAGCTTGGAACTTCATTATTGGTGTTAGGAACGGGTAGTGGTGATATTTTGGCACTGGACGTATCGGTTGGCCAGTTGAAGTGGAGGGTTACTGATTGCCATCCGGGGTTAGTTTCTGGTTGATTACTCCAAATTTTGTGGCTTTCATGATCTTTTAGACAACAACATTTCTTTCTCTTTGTAAGATTTAGCTTTTCTTTCCCATGGACAGCAATTCTTGTTCATATGTGGGCTTGGAATCATAATTCAAGGATTTCATAATGCAGAGCAATGATTTGGCTGTTTAGTTTTGTACTTATATTTATGTAGATGTACCTCTTTGGTGCCAAGAAAAATTTTACTTGTCAATTTCATTTTAAGCAAGTATGATTCATTTTGCTTTCTCAATGGGTTATGTGATTGTATAATGGTAAGCTTGTAGATTGAACGTGTAAGCAGAAGATGAGTAGGATCTCGTCATGTTGAAAATATGAGTTTTGCATGGAAATTCATTATATAACCAATTCTGTTTGTGCTTGTTTGGTTTGTGTGTATACTTCTTTTTGCATCAATGAATCAATTTAAGTTTTCTCGTTATTTTGTGTTTAATTCCTAAATATGACGATATTACAATNGAAATTCATTATATAACCAATTCTGTTTGTGCTTGTTTGGTTTGTGTGTATACTTCTATTTGCATCAATGAATCAATTTAAGTTTTCTCGTTATTTTGTGTTTAATTCCTAAATATGACGATATTACAAAGTAATGCAAACATGAAGTGGACAAAAACCTGAACCTAAAATGTCACGCTAGTGCCATAAAGTTGGTTATGTGCTAAGAACTATGACATGATAGATAGTTTACGGCCTATACTTTATACATGAAGTTAACAATGTATACTATTTGTCTGATGGATAATGTGAATACACATTTCCCTTATTATATTGAAATCTTCATTTGGGTAGTCTAACCCTATTTCTTGATTCCATCGCAATGCAGGGGCGTGAGTGCTATTTCATTTCCAACAGTTGGTTCATGTGTTTACACTGCGGGTGCTGATGGGATGAGTTGTGAACTCGATTCCATGACAGGAAATTTGTTGCGCAAGTTCAGAGCTTCTACAAAAGCAATATCTTCTATATCTGTTTCCTCAGGTATGTATGGTCAATCGTGGTTTATTTGATGGATAAGCTCTATCAAATTTAAATTTGTAGCTTTAGATAAAATCCTGTTATATGAATTAAATCTAGTATGCTGCATCTTGATTGTCGAGAAATGGATATATAGCTTTGTGAAATCGCAAAGGGAAGAATGCATTTCTTTGCTTTACAATTTTTTAATCACAAATCAAAAGAGTATAGAATGGCCATCAGACGAATAGTGGTGGTGGATGCTGTCCGGAGGTAGATTTTACTGGTTGGCTGTGGTCCAAGTAAGATATATATACACCATACTTTGTAAAGGGAATAAATACTTGTTTTGATTATGGGATCTCAATTTTGTCCTGAACTAGAAGGTTTGTCCCCCACGGTATGAGCTTGTAATTGTTTGACTTCAATTGTATATCTTGAATTTGTTTCATTTGTCTAATCCCGCTTCTTGATTGGGTATCCCTTTATCAGATGGGAAGACATTAGCGACTGCAGCTGCTCAATTAAAGATTTTTAATGGTTCAGATCACAAAAAGCTACAGAAGTTTTCAGGCCATCCTGTGAGTTGTTATACAGTTCCATATTCTTTTTGAGTTGTATATATGCCTCTTCCTACTTCATCGCCTCATTCATAAGCACAACTGGGCATCAAATTTCTTCTTTTGCTTTCTTAACTGATAGATTTTGCCAACCTTTTAATAGGAAACTGTTCGCTGTATGGTTTTCTCTGAAGATGGCCGATATGTGCTTTCTTCTTCTGCTGGTGAACGATATGTTGCAGTTTGGAGAATAGATGGTAGCAAAAAGAAATCAGCCTGCTGTGTTCTTGCTATGGACCACCCTGCTGTCTTTCTGGATAGCAGGTGCATTGATGCTCAAGATACAGACGTAGCAGGTCTATGCGTTTTGGCCATTTCTGAGATGGGTGTTTGTTACTTTTGGTGTGGGATGAATATTGAAGAATTACGCAACTCCAAGCCCACAAAAGTCTCCGTACCTACTGATGATAGACTCTCTAAAAATCACAAGGGAGCAGTACCTAACATATTAGCTGCAAAGTTACAAGGCATAGCCAAACCTGCTGCAGGTCATGTCTTTGTTGCCTATGGTTTACTAATAAAGCCCTCATTTGAGAAAATTATTGTTCAGTCTGGCACAGACATACAATTGAACAATTCCTTGGATGGAATCCTTTTGCCATTTAAAAAAACTCAAAAATCCAAGAAAGGTTCAGATGTACAGAATGAAGGTGAGTCAGGGACTCAGCATGCTATTTATTTTGGTTTTGAATATATTTTTTTAATCATGGATTTGTGAGATTTTTATGCATGAAAACATATGCAAATTGTTATGAAAGTCACATTTCCATCTCCACATTGGTAAGTCATGGAAAAGAAGTTAATAGGGACCGAGAAACTAATGTATATGCAGGGCAAAGGAAGTAAAAGAGAAGAGTTCACATGGGCCTATCAGCTGATGATTTGCCCCACAATTGTCAAAACATGATTTAACACTTTTTGGTGTTGGAAAATTCAGAGTTGTAGTACTAAGGGTAGTCTGGTCATTTTCACAGTTCAGGGTATTAGTAATGTTATGTCCTAGTTAGTTTTGGGCAATCCTTTTTCTAGTTGCATACTCTTCAACTCTGCTATTTTAGATTTTTATTTTTGAACAGAACTTGGTAGTTTAGATGGCAATCGATTTTTGTTTGTCACCATATCTGTGGTATTCTGATTTTTGTGCCTTTCATTACTGTTGTTTGCTGGTGTACCGTTGTGTTGCATGCGTTTTTTGCGTACTAAATATTGCCAGGGTCTAACAGCGTTTGTAAAAATAAACAGTTACTGCACTAGACCGTGCAAATGCAGAGGATGCCTTACTTCCTATACCTAAGATTTTTGGGTTGACTGATGGCAGGAGTAGAGCTGAGCCTCTGGCGAGCAAAGGTATGCTTGAATCTTCTTTCTTGAGTTTGGAAAATTAGTTGTGGCATCAATTTTCATCTTTGTAACTTTCTGGGGTCATCAAATAATCAGTTCATTAGATTGTCAGCTATGCCTCTTGAACTACTCAATTGTATATTTTGTGCTTTCGTAACAACGCCTATTGCCTGAGAGCATAGTTATTAGTATCGTACGCGTATCGTGCGATACATCACAATACACCGGAAAAGTGATACGTATTGTGTCTCTATATCGTTTTTGCAATGTATCGTATGATACACGATTCAATGCGTCTGATGCGTGACGATTCTGTTTTTTTTTTGATTTTTTTTGATTTTTTGGAACTAAAATAACATCGTTTTATCCTAAGACTTATTTTTAAATCATTAGCTAGTAAAACAATGTCGTTTTAGTGGTTCTGATTTAAAAAAATAAATAAAGTATGTTGTTAATGTTATTCAATTGAGTTCAAAATTCTTGATTAATATTAAAGTTGTTCAAGCAGTTGATGTTAGAAGTTTGAATTAGAGGTCTTTGCATTTTGATATTACTGAACTATGATGGGAACTTGAATAGTTTGTGGAATATTAATGAAATGCTATATTATTATGAGTTTATGTTTTTTTTACAAAGGTGTATATATATATATTATTAATAATTATTTAAAAATTAAATTGCGCGTATCTTATGATACACGATGCGATACGATACTATTTTTAAAAATCGATACGATACGCGATTTGACAACTATGCCTGAAAGCACTTTGTTTGATTTTATAGAAATCACTAATGACATTGGCCATGTCCTGTGTTACCAATAAATAAATATTATGATATCATGGTGTTTCTTTCATTTTCGTTGTTTCTTTCATTTTCTGCTTTTCTTCTTACAAATAGTGCTTGAAAAAAGCTTTCTGGGTAGTTTTGCTTAGGATCAGATGTTATTTTGTTGGTCTATGCAGATGATGTGGATAAAATTGGAGTTGATATTGGGACATTCTGTGTGGAGGACAGGCTGAGATCCCTAGGGATACTTAACAATGATAATGATCTTATGTCTGATTCAATGCTTGATCTTGAAATATTGAAGGGTATCGGTCGTGAAGCTAATATGCCGCAAAAGAAGGTTTAAATTTTCCAATGGAGGGGATACATTATTCTTCTACTGCTCTGTTCGTGTCCATTATTTAAGTTTTGTTGTACTTCAGTTTGTTTGCTGACTATAGTTATGTTCACCAGATGAGGGCTGCTATTTTATCCTTAGTACCCAGTGATGCGTACAAGTTGTTGAAAGCCTTGGTGGCCATGTGGCAATCCAGGTTCGTTCCTCTAATAGTCAGAAACTGTGTGGATTGTTGTGTACAACTTGAAGATAATTGGTAAAAGGGAAGGCAACCAGAAAATTTGAAGTGACTTGCTTCATCCAAGTGCAGTAGCAATTTTTGTTCTTTATAAAATGGATTGAATAATTGCCATCGGTCAGAAATCATTGATTCTTAAATAATCTTGCAGTACAAGAAATGTAATCTTATCTGTTTGACATTCAACAGATCATGCAGTGGAAGGTATGTTCTTCCATGGATAAGTTGTATATTGGTGAACCACAATGACTATATTGTATCTCAAGAACCAGTGACCCAGCTGCTTGATTCCTTGTACAGGGTAAGATACTCTAAAAGGAAAGTTTTCTTCTGTCCGTTCCTCCATGTCCCTGATTTATTTTTTTTGGTTTGTGTAAAAATCTTCTTCCAGGTGTTTTTAGATGCAACAATTGATTTGCTAATTTTATGTTGATTTACCATAAAGAAATGGACATGCCAATAAATGATAAACAAATTGATACTGGACATATAGTGTCACAAATGATTGTAGAGGGTTTAATGGAGCTAGGATCACTTGAAGAGTCAAATGGTCGATTTTGAGGACATAATTGGTCTGTTTGTGGTATTGTAGCGAACCTAGTTATAATTGCATTTTTTTTTTATAATTTATTTCCCCATTTCAAGTTTTACCGTCCTCTTTTTTCCTTCAGTCATTCTTTATGTGGATTGCTTGTTTGGTTTGGTTTTGGAGATTTATAAGATTCTTGTTTGAAATTGTTTCACACATTTGCTTTGCGTAAAGATTCACATATGCATGCCGAAGTTTAGTGAGACGTCACACTTTGGCATACAAATGTAATCAATGCACTTTATCTGATTCTGTTGGTTTTATTTTATGGCGCTTTGAGTGAGGTTTATTTTCTTTCAGCTTACAAAAACTAGAGGGGCAGCTATTCACTCATTGTTGCAGTTGTCAGGTCGTCTGCATCTTGTAACGGCAAAGGTTATTCACTTTACAAGTCACTTAAATCAGATTGCTGTGGGAAATTTTTTTTTGTTCAAAATTTTAAAATCTGGATTTTTTTTGTACCTTGGGCAGATTGACAAGGCTGCGGATAGCAAAAACCAAACCTTAGCACAGGATCAGCCTATGGATGAAACTGAAGATGAAGATGTTGATGAGTTTCTTTATGGTGTAGAAGAAGAATCCCAAACTAGCAGTGACAATGATGAGTAGACGTGTATCACTTGAAGAGCTAATTATTTCTTGCAGATCAGATACCATTTTTTGCAGTATTATGGAGGCAGAAGTTGACTAATTAGTATGAGAAACTGCTAGGACCAAAATCTTAATGCAGGCGAATACAATTATAGTGAGGCTTTTTGACCATATAAATTATAGAGTAAATGCTGGGATATGTTATGGTGCTCATGATATTGTGGTCCGAAGTCCCCTTTTTTCTGATCTGAGAAGAACGACAAAATTACTCTGCTGGGCCTTATCTCTCGAGATGTTCAGATCTATGTAGGGTATATGTGTGCCATCCCAGTTGGACACAAGCATGCCATCGACCTGCACAATTGGGTTTGTGGAGTTTTATGTCTTGAAGTCTACATGGTGAAAGCTACGTGTTTCTGTTTTCTATAGTCTGTTTGACGTAGGCATATACCTTCAATCCATTTCGAGGCAGATCATGTCCTCCTTTTCTTGTATTTTTTCCTCCTTATCCATTTGGTATTGGGATTGTGTATGTGATTGAGATTTTAGTCTCTAATTGCCATTTTTAAACCACCTTTCAAGTTGAGATAGCTCTTTTATGGGAATTGTTGGTGGGATTTCACAGGGTCGTTTTGTGATGAATGATTCTATGGATTGAAGAAGACTAGGGGTAACCCATGTTTGAAGACATGATGCAATATGAATAGTTTTGGGAGAGATGTTGGTAGCCATTGGATGAGTCTCTTTGAGACAGTCGGATGGTTTTATTGAAGCCTGTCCTATTTTATATAATAGATTTATTTAAGTGAACTTAAGAATTTGATCGTTGTGTGCACTTAATTGGGGCAGCCTGCTGTTTTTTCTCTTATATTGTTCGAGTATTTATCACTGACAGATGATTATACCACCAAATTATCTTGGTATTTGCTAAGCTATCTTCTATTAATGCCCTCATGCAGTTGAAAATTTGGCATTTTTCTTTTTGTTTGGGATGAAAATCTAGATAGTTGGCATAATGGCTGGAAAATTGTCGCTGATGCTACTTATCCTTTAGTTTTTTTGGGGTTTTATGCTTCTGCTTGATGGACTCTTATCTAACGTTAGTTAGTACCATGAGTGTAACACATACAATTTATCTTTTTCCATCTTGTGATCTGTGAATCTATCGATTTGGTGAATAATCTTTCCATAGTTGTTAAGTTGAGAAGAAACCAAGGAATTTGAAGTAGATTCTCTGGTGAGAAACAATGAGGGAACTTTATCTTGGAAGACATTTTAGTGAGTTACTCATTTTTCCTCTTATCCTTCCTTTTCAAGCTCCGAAGTTTTTCTAGATAATGTTTTACATAGAAAAAGATGGCTGTTTTGGAGGGAGGTTGAGGAATGTAATTGTAGAATATAATAGCTTTATAGGATTCTTTTGCAAGAAATGAATGCCAGGCAGTATGTATTAGTCCTCTCAGAAGTGGAATGTAGGATATATTCTTCCTGCACTTACAAGCCAAGAATCTAATTCTTCTTTCAACATTTGCGCATGCTTATTTGAAAATATTACTGCCACGGAATGCTAATTCTTTACTTATTATCCTACAATAACTTTCACGTAAGACTCTTCTTGAGGTAAAAGAAAGTGCCTGCTTTTCATACTGACCTCCTCTCTGTTCCTTCTAGACTATTCTACATGCATTTGGATTTTCATCACTGAACATTGAACTGATATTGCCGTTGCCATTGTTGCCATGGTGATAGTCCTCACTGTAATGCTCCTGTCTGCTGTAATGTGTGTATCGTGGTGGCGACTGGACATGTGAGTATTCAGTGACATGAGGTGATGGCTTGAATGTGCTGTAGCTGTGAGTCACATAAACAGGAGGGGCTGGCTCCTGTCGGAATCCTGGACCATTGGTGTAAGTATTCCACTGCCTGTTATGTCCTTGACCATAGCTGTTACCATAACCATATCTGTAGCCAAAGTCTGGTGGGTGCTGGTATATTACATGAACCTTTTCGACCTCTTTTGGCCCGGAGGGTTGTGCTGGCTGGCTTGGTGTAGCATCAGGCGCTGCTGGTGATGGTTTTTGCTCTGGTGGTGGATTTTCTGGTGGTGGTGGATCCTTTGGAGGCTCTGCTGGTTGTGCTGCTTCAGCGGGTGGAGCTTCTGCTGGAGGAGGGTTTGCAGATTCAGGGGCTGGTGCCCCTCCTTCAGGTGATGGCTCTGTTGGCTGGGGTGGTGGCTCTGTTGGCTCTGTGTGGGAACAGATGGTGGCGGTTTTTCTTGTCTTCTTTATGGCTTTGACTATTTTCTCAGGATCTGCCCACCCAATTATTGTTAATTTTTGTTGAGGGAAGTCAATGTAGAGATCATATATACCTGTGGGCAATTGAAGATCAAAGTAAATGACACATTGTTTTAAAGGATCTTGAAAAGAATGAGAAAGAGAACTATATGGTCGTTTTTATTTCTGGTTACTTACCATTGATGCCATGTAGAGCCTTCTTGATCTTCTGAACACACCCATTGCAGTCCATTCTGACCAGTATCTCCGTGACTCGAGGTTTCTGCATTTTGTCATGAAAATTCAGTGGTTAGAAGACTGTGTAGAAGCAGAATTAAACCCAGAAAATGAATGATACCAGCAATACTTCTGTGTTATATGCATATTAATGATTAGATGCAAGGGCTTGTAAGGCCTACCCCTAACTCAGGCACCATGACTGAAGAAAGGGAGGGAGAATGGAGAAACAAAACGAGGTTCTTTGTAGGGGATGGACAGGGTGGAGAGTGTGAAAGGAGAATTCAATATATGGCATTCAATCTGTGCATGGAGAGGGAATATTTAAAAGGAAGGAGGTGTGGGACATGCAAAGAATCTCTTTTTAGAGATATGTAGAGAGAGAGGGTTTTGCTGCTTGATTAGAAGTCACTGTCATATTGTAAAGGGAGTAAAAGGGGGGGGGGGGGGGGG